TCACAGACTGGCATCAGATAAAAGGACCAGAAGCGTGTGAATGCATGAAGTTATCTTTGGTCTAAGCAGGATCATCGTTACCTTTGGGAGGTTCATGCTTCTGCAGGTCGACGGTGCGGTTGATGTCCTCAGCTATAGAGATGTCCGTCTCCTCAGTCTCCTCAGCTATAGAGATGTCCGTCTCCTCAGCTATAGAGATGTCCGTCTCCTCAGTCTCCTCAGCTATAGAGATGTCCGTCTCCTCAGCTATAGAGATGTCCGTCTCCTCAGTCTCCTCAGCTATAGAGATGTCCGTCTCCTCAGTCTCCTCAGCTATAGAGATGTCCGTCTCCTCAGTCTCCTCAGCTATAGAGATGTCTGTCTCCTCAGCTATAGAGATGTCCGTCTCCTCAGCTATAGAGATGTCCGTCTCCTCAGTCTCCTCAGCTATAGAGATGTCCGTCTCCTCAGCTATAGAGATGTCTGTCTCCTCAGCTATAGAGATGTCCGTCTCCTCAGTCTCCTCAGCTATAGAGATGTCCGTCTCCTCAGTCTCCTCAGCTATAGAGATGTCTGTCTCCTCAGCTATAGAGATGTCCGTCTCCTCAGCTATAGAGATGTCCGTCTCCTCAGCTATAGAGATGTCCGTCTCCTCAGCTATAGAGATGTCCGTCTCCTCAGCTATAGAGATGTCTGTCTCCTCAGCTATAGAGATGTCCGTCTCCTCAGCTATAGAGATGTCCGTCTCCTCAGCTATAGAGATGTCCGTCTCCTCAGCTATAGAGATGTCCGTCTCCTCAGCTATAGAGATGTCCGTCTCCTCAGCTACAGAGATGTCCGTCTCCTCAGCTATAGAGATGTCTGTCTCCTCAGCTATAGAGATGTCCGTCTCCTCAGTCTCCTCAGCTACAGAGATGTCCGTCTCCTCAGCTACAGAGATGTCCGTCTCCTCAGCTATAGAGATGTCCGTCTCCTCAGCTATAGAGATGTCCGTCTCCTCAGCTATAGAGATGTCCGTCTCCTCAGCTATAGAGATGTCCGTCTCCTCAGCTATAGAGATGTCCGTCTCCTCAGCTATAGAGATGTCCGTCTCCTCAGCTACAGAGATGTCCGTCTCCTCAGCTATAGAGATGTCTGTCTCCTCAGCTATAGAGATGTCCGTCTCCTCAGCTATAGAGATGTCCGTCTCCTCAGCTATAGAGATGTCCGTCTCCTCAGCTATAGAGATGTCCGTCTCCTCAGCTATAGAGATGTCCGTCTCCTCAGCTATAGAGATGTCCGTCTCCTCAGCTATAGAGATGTCCGTCTCCTCAGCTATAGAGATGTCCGTCTCCTCAGCTACAGAGATGTCCGTCTCCTCAGCTATAGAGATGTCTGTCTCCTCAGTCTCCTCAGCTATAGAGATGTCTGTCTCCTCAGCTATAGAGATGTCCGTCTCCTCAGTCTCCTCAGCTATAGAGATGTCCGTCTCCTCAGCTATAGAGATGTCCGTCTCCTCAGCTATAGAGATGTCTGTCTCCTCAGCTATAGAGATGTCCGTCTCCTCAGTCTCCTCAGCTATAGAGATGTCCGTCTCCTCAGCTATAGAGATGTCCGTCTCCTCAGCTATAGAGATGTCCGTCTCCTCAGCTATAGAGATGTCCGTCTCCTCAGCTATAGAGATGTCCGTCTCCTCAGCTATAGAGATGTCCGTCTCCTCAGCTATAGAGATGTCCGTCTCCTCAGCTATAGAGATGTCCGTCTCCTCAGCTATAGAGATGTCCGTCTCCTCAGCTATAGAGATGTCCGTCTCCTCAGCTATAGAGATGTCCGTCTCCTCAGCTATAGAGATGTCTGTCTCCTCAGCTATAGAGATGTCCGTCTCCTCAGTCTCCTCAGCTATAGAGATGTCCGTCTCCTCAGCTATAGAGATGTCCGTCTCCTCAGCTATAGAGATGTCCGTCTCCTCAGCTATAGAGATGTCCGTCTCCTCAGCTATAGAGATGTCTGTCTCCTCAGCTATAGAGATGTCCGTCTCCTCAGCTATAGAGATGTCCGTCTCCTCAGCTATAGAGATGTCCGTCTCCTCAGCTATAGAGATGTCCGTCTCCTCAGCTATAGAGATGTCCGTCTCCTCAGCTATAGAGATGTCCGTCTCCTCAGCTATAGAGATGTCCGTCTCAAACGCCTCGTTGTCGTGTCCTGAAAGCATTAATCAAACATTCGCTGCTCATTTAGATGTTTATAAATCCCATCTATGGCTAATTAAGGAGATTCCTGCAGAGGAAGAGCTTTTTACCGAGTCCAGATCTGCTGATCTCAGAATGTTTCACTTCCTTCTTCTCAGTTTTCATAGAATTTTTTCCTGGAAGTGAAGCAGCTGTAAATGAACCAGCAGGTGACTAGATCAGAGGAGTCAGAGTGTCTGACCTCACCGTGTTTAGATGGCGGCCTGGCCAACCCTAGATGAGAGGAAAGTGTTGGATCTATGTTGATGAAATGTCCAGCATCGTCTTGCAGGCTGTTGAACCCTTTTTCATCACAGAGTCAATCAGGTGGCGGGCTTTATCCGCCGTGGTCAGGTTCTCCTCCAGGATGGCCGCCTTCTCCAGGGAGTTGAAGATGTTATCAGATTCCAGACGATCAAGGAGCTGCTTGATGATCTCTTTGGAGACCCTCTTCACAAACGCTCCCGGATCCTTTTTAGTTCCCTTTCTGCAATAACAAGGATGCTTTAATGTAGATCCTTTCTTTGCACTCAGTCTGTCCTGGCATTGAAACCATGGAACCACTGAGCAGCTCCTCTAATGATCTGATTGGTTGTTTTTATGGTGAAGCAGATAAAAAGCAATGAGCATGAAATCTAGAGAAGTCATTTTTTGTTAAAATAAGTGCATTTGGTCTTGGATTGAGGGATAAAAGAGACATTTTGCCAATGGAACCAGACAATTTACATTTAAAATAAGAAAACAAAACCGCTATGTCTTATTTAAAGGGCATTTTATGTAATTATCTTATTTTTAGAGCAAAAAAACTCATTCCATTGGCAGATCATCTCATTTACCTGCTGAAATTAAGGGTCAAAACAATTAATTTAAGAAATCTTACTTCTTTCTAGATCGTTTTTTCCAGTGCTAAATATCTTCCCTTCAGGAAACATGCATTTGTTCCTAAAAGGAGAGATTTAGACCTAGAACTCACAGACCTGCTGAAGGTTCTGGATCCACTGGTGCTGATGAAGCTGCTCCAGAAGCTGCATCTCTCTGAGTTTCCTGTAGAACCGGAGATGTTTCTTCTGCGTTCTGCGGTGTTTGTCCAGCAGAGGTCTCCCTTTGGGAGCAGAGGTCAGGGTCATGTGACCTTAGGCCTTAAAGGAGCCAATGAATGAGGCTCATGGTGCTGAGGAAGTGTAAGCGGCAGCTAACCTCTGTTTAGCAGAAGCACTTTGTTTGGATCCATCAGGTCTGGGTTTGGTTCTGGACGTTTTCTGCTTCCTGCTGGAAGAACAAACTTCATTGTTGAGATTCTGAGATGCTGTTGGTGATCCAGACCATCAGCAGAGGAGGAAGAAGTTTTCCTCAATGGATTCAACCAAACATTTTCACAACGAACGTCACCATGCGGGTAATAAAGGAAACTAACCAGCAGCGCCTGCAGAGACATCTGAGGAAGGGACAGCCTGGTCCGTCAGACTGCGGCGAGTCCTGCTGATGATCCATGCGGCTGAATTCAGCTAATAGAAACCTTCATCTGCAGAGGAAACATCAGCTCTGAGTGTCTGTTTCCATCAGCTGCTCCTCTCACTGCTTCACAGCATCAGGTGAATCCAGAGGAAGCAGCTGCATCCCCTCTATCAGTCCAGCAGGTGGAGCCATAGAGCAAACACCAGGTGGTGGATCTACATCTTCACTGACCAGACTGTGACGTTCTCACCTCTATAATTCTCAGATGGAGGATCTGCTGCGTTCAGGTCTGCGACGCCATGCCTCCAAAAAGGTAGATTTCATTTTACTTTGATTTATAGAAATCAACTAAACAGACTGAGGAGGTTTAAAGAGCGGCTTAGGCAGGGAGTCAGCAGGCAGACCAAACCTGCAGCCGTGAGCAGAACATCTTTCAATGAAACTCTATTCAATTTATTTCTATAGCTTCAATTCACATCATGTCATCTCAGGTCACTTTATAGATCCAGATCAACCAGATCATCCAGTCAGATTGATTCAAAGTTTTCTATCTAAGGAAAACCAGCTGATTGCATCGACTCATTGACTCTTCAGCAATCCCTCACACTAAGCATGCTTGTAGCGACAGTGGAGAGGAAAAACTCCTTTGAACAGGAAGAAACCTCCAGCATGCCTCCTGAGGGGGGAGCAGTGCTTTGCTAACACTGTCTCTAGTGGGGGTGGGGAGCTGCTGGCACTAAAAGACGACATCTTGGATAGTGGAAGGAATTATTTATGTTCTCCTCAATCTGGCTGAGATGCTTTCTGTGGTGGAAGAAGAGATGCTGGTGATTGGTTCACCAGGCTGATTCCACTGAGGTGATCTAGGAACTCCACAATGGTCAGGATTAATGGGTGGAGGGACACCTAGCTTTATGTGTCCATAACTCCAGATTGGAATGTCCCCTAATGTCCAATCACTGAGCCTCTAATCAGTTAATGAACACGCCCGCCACATTTTACATTTAATCAGCCTAAACACTGGTTTAATCATTTATCCAAATTGCCTTATTTTAACTAAAACCTGAGATTTTAGCTGAAAAGTCTTTTTTAAGTTACTGAGTTAGCTTTGGTCGCTGCTCTGTTTGTTAACGTAGAGATATAAACTAGACTGAGGACGTCTCTCATGTCCTTCAGGGAACCTTTAGGTCTGATCCTTTCAGCAGCTTCATGTGGAAACATCTCATTTCTGGACAAATATCAGAGACGCTCTGATGATGAGCAGATCTCAGCATGGACAGACCTCAGACCTCAGCCTGCTCAGATGGAGATAGATCTTTATTTCAGGACGTTCAGACATCGGAGTGGACATGGAGGAACCGTGTTCTGGTTTCCTAATCAGAGGTCAGAGTTCAGGTCATTTGGAGACAGGAGCTTCTTCCAGATGGTCAATGTCCACCAGGAGCAGGTAGCTCCATCAGTTCATGCTCCTCCTGCTGCTGTGGAGCTTTCTCCCTCTGGACTCTCCTCCTCCTCCAACAGGAACAAAGCAAAGCTGCAGCAGAACATCGGCAGAGTCAGTCCACCTCCAGAACACCAGAACGTCTTCATGTCCAGCACCACACTGACCTGCTGTTAGACTGAGCAGGAGGCTGAGGACCACAGCTGAGCGGTAGATGGAGAAGGTCAACCTCTCAGCTTCACAGTCACAGGGGGGAGCGGTGGGGGCGACCACAGGGACGGAGGGACTGGTGGACAGAGGGACAGCTGGAAGAAGACAGAGGGGACACTAAGTTCTGTTCATTCAGCTTCTAGATGCAGATGTTCTGTGAAGAAACCAGGAGAGACCAGCTTTTATTGGAGGTCTGAGGAGACAGAAGATATCAGGACTTTAGAACCATCAGCAGGTCCGGACCAACAGGACCAACACCAGACAGGAAGTGACATCACAGCAGAGTTTGGAGGATAAAGGTCACCGTTTCTTCAGTTTCAGTGTCCTTTAGCTCAACAATTCACTTTGGAAGGTTTATATATTTAAATCTTCATAAGAACTCAGTTTATAATGCGTCTGTCCCCCAGAGGGCGCCATACCACAGGAAGCTCCCCTCTTTATGACGCTGCTTCCTCATCATTCACCTTAAAGGTAAAGGAGTCTGCAGTCAAAGCAGAATGTTGAAGGTCTGTCTGAATAACGCTGACAGGAAGGAAGCAGGTTTATTCCTATTATAGACTCAAAGAGTCATCCTGAAGTTCCTACCCACCACTGGGAGCTTTACAGTTTCCCACAATCCTTTGCAGGACAGTTAATGTAGGTACGGCTGACCAAGAGCCTGATATTTCCTTAATGACATGAAGCCTTTCTATTGAGCCGAAAATACAGGGACAGGAACTACAGGAACAGGAACTAACGAAACAGGAACTATGTGAACAGGAACTAAAGGAACAGGAGCTATGGTAACAGGAACTACACGAACTACAGGAACAGGAACTAGAGGAACAGGAACTATGGGAAAATGAGATAAAAGAGTAGGAACTAAAACAACAGTAACTACAGGAACAGTGGAATTACAGGAAAAAGTACTCCAGGAAAAGGAACTACAGAAACCGGAACTAAAGGAACTACAGCAACAGTGACTATGGGAACGGAAACATTCACCTCCTTCTGGGGTTGTTCTCTAGACAGATCTGGGCGGTTTGTAGACCAGGAAGAGAAGGTAGAACAGAATCATCATCATCATCATCATCATCATCATCATCATCATCATCATCATCATTCCAGAACCTGCAGCGACCCGGTTCTGTTGGGCTTTAGAACCAAAGAGAGCCTTAGAGGAAGATCCCAGAACACCACAGTGCCCTGACCCCCCAAACCCGCCATCCAGAGTTATGATGTCACTTCCTGTTGTTTGATCAACTTGAACCAACAGTCTGAATGTTCTAGACTTTAACGGGTTTAACGGATCAGAACCAGGTGGTTCCTACCTGGGATGAGGATGAAAGTCCCTCCACTGGCATCGTTCTCCTTCTTCCCACAGAAATACCTCCTGCTGTCCTCAGCAGAGAAGTTCTGGATCACCAGCTGGTTTCTAATCTTCAGATATTTGGTCTTAAAGTCCAGAGAGTCGTAGATGGGATCGGTTTGAGAGTAGATCTGTCCGATTCTTCTTCTGGACTGGTTCTGATCCTCCATGAACCAGTGGATGTCACCAACATTAATGGAGCAGGTTAAAGGAACATTCTGACCCAGAGAGACATTAACATTCTCCTGGTTCTGAGCCTCTGAACCGAGCAGAACCAGAACCAGAACCAGAGGCATGCCCAGCAGCTCCATCAGCAGGTTCTAGCAGATCTGGACCAAGTCGTCAGAAAGCAGCACAGCTCTGCTGGTGGCGGTGAAACTGATCTACTTCCTGTCAGAGCAGAGGAAGGTTTTCAGAAACCATCAGAACCACAGAGCCTCTCAGAGACTCAGCAGCAGGTGAGCAGTTAGCAGGCAGGTGGATACCTGACCTCACATCAGTTCTAAGCTGGAGAAACCAGTGGAAGCTGTGGTCTCAGAAGGTCAGCAGCTTATTCTCCATCATCATCAGACAGCTACTGTTCTCCTGAAGCTGCTGAGATGTTGGAGCATCAGAGAACCGTCAGATGTTCATCAGGCTCTGAAGAAATGTGCTGATAAAAGGAGAACTGAACAGCCAGAGATCTGAGAAGAATCGCCATGAAGCTCCCAGGAACCCATTCTGGTTCTATACCTGCAACCTACCTGGAGAACCTAGAAGTCCAAGATGTTCCGTCCCAGAGACCTGGTCTAGCTAGAGAAGGCTGAACCCGACGACCGCTAAACAAAGGAACACCTGAGGAACACCTGAGGAACACCTGAGGAACACCTGAGGACGGATCCTTCATGAACTACAGCGACTCTAGATGGACCGGATGGAACCATGACTGGACCGGGACCATCCACAGAACTCCATGTCCAGTCAGACCCCAGTAGGGTGGAGGTCTGGTAATGGTATGGGCTGGTTGAAGAAGTCCAGCTTCCAGGTGAGCATCTTCCAGGAGGTTGCCATGCAGGACAGTGACCCCCACTGGCCAGTAAAGGCATTACAGGTGAAGGACATAATGTGGTCCACCTCCTGATCGGACCAGAACCCAATCAGAAGATGTTGGTGGATCTTAAAGCGAAGATCTACAGTGAAGGAAGACAGACTCCTCTGAGGTTCTGGACAGAAAGCAGATGTTCTTCAGACTCAGTGACTGAAAGGATAATCTATGGGGGATTATCTGTGATTATTCTCACTGAAACCAGGACCAGATGTGATCCGTTCTTCAACGGTTCTTCACTCTGATAGCTGATCAATGATTATGTCCACATAGAACTTCTCCTCAGAACCAAACGTCCCTTTAGATGCTGCAGTTGGAGCTTAATGAACAGAGATTGATGGAAATAATCCTGTAATCTGAGAATGCCCGGTGTAATCCCTCTGAACATCACGGATGTCAACGGTTCTCATTCTAATGTCATTCTAATGTCATTCTAGTTGTTTTCTGGTTTTATTTGAGTTCTAATGTGTTTCTTGTTTACTCTCTGCTGCCCCCTTGTGCCCGTCTCCCTTCCCCTGCCTCCTTCTAGATCCTTCTGTCCACACCTGCTCCCAATCAGCTGATTACTCCATTCTTTGATCTGTTTGGCATTAATTCTCCTCCTCTGCAGTTACTGGTTGATGGATTCTCTTCATTCCATCTTTAATCTCTGTGTTCTACTTTCTCCTGGTTCCTGTTTTCCTTGATCTCTTATTTCTAGATTTATGCTTCTGTTGCCAGAAACCAGCTCAGCTTCCGTCTCTGCATTTGGTTCCTGGAAGCCTGACACAGCGACCCCTATGAACCAGAAGAGACTGCAGGTTCCATCCTGACCCAAGAATCCAGGAACATTCACCTCTTTCTGAGCGTTTGAATGGACCAGAACCACCATCAGAACCATCAGCAGGTTCTGCCCAGAACTGGGCCAGTTCAGCTCTGCAGGCGGAGATTCAGAGGTCTGTGCTTCGTGTTCAGCAGAGTGAGAACAGAAGGTGTTGATAGAAACCACAGAGGAAGTCAGACCTGTGGTATCAGTCTGACCACTTCCTGCAGACATTAGAATTAGAATCAAGTTTATTAGCAAGTAGGTTTAGACTTACAAGGAAATTGACTTGTTGATGGTGCAGAGAAATTATGTATAAAGAATACAGGATCTATAGTTATTCAACTCTATTCAGTTTATTTCTATAGCTCCAATTCACATCATGTCATCTCAGGTCACTTTCCAGTTCAACCAGATCATCCAGTCAGATTGATTCAAAGTTTTCTATCTAAGGAAAACCAGTTGATTGCATCGACTCATTGACTCTTCAGCAATCCCTCACACTAAGCATGCTTGTAGCGACAGTGGAGAGGAAAAACTCCCTTTGAACAGGAAGAAACCTCCAGCAGAACCAGGCTCAGTGTGAGCGGCCATCTGCTGAGGCCCACTGGGGTTCAAGGAGACAGAAGCAGACATAGAAAAAGAAGCATAGATACAAAAGGCAACTGTCAACCAGCTCCACAGGCGGCCCCGTCCAGGAAACACACAGCCAGGCAGACGAGCTCCGAGCCAGCTCCCATGTCAGAGGATGAAGAGAGCACATCCAGTTAGTCACAGTCAGAGAAACAGGACTACACTGGAAAACAGGCCAAGCTCCAATATCTAGAAACAAAGGTGTTGATGGCAGCAGCACAGCTGATATTTCTCTCCAGGATGGAGTCACAGCCAAACAGGAACAGACCAGATGAAGCTACTATGAGAAAAAGCAGAGAGAGCAGAACGTTAGAGATTGAACTAACAGATTCTGCAGAGTGGGAGAATAGAGATAGAATGAAGCAGAATGATGAAAAAGGGGTCCCTATGTCCTCCAGCAGTCTAAGCCTATAGCAGCAGAACTATAGAGATAGCTCAGGATAACCTGAGCCACTCTAACTAGAAGCTTTATCAATAAGGAAAGTTTTAAGCCTAGCCTTAAAAGTAGACAGGGTGTCTGCCTCACGGACTAAAACTGGTAGTTGGTTCCACAGGAGAGGAGCCTGATAACTAAAAGATCTGCCTCCCATTCTACTTTTAGAAGTTCTAGGAACCACTAGTAAACCTGCAGATTGAGAGCGAAGTGCTCTGTTAGGAACATAAGGAACAATCAGATCTCTGATATCAGATGGAGCTTGGCCATTTAAGGCTTTATATGTGAGAAGGAGGATTTTAAATTCTATTCTGGATTTAACAGGAAGCCAATGAAGAGAAGCCAGGATAGGAGAGATATGATCTCTCTTTTTCATTTTCATCAGAACTCTGGCTGCAGCATTTTTGATCTGAGAGTGATCTGGTACCAGCTGGTTCTGGTTCAAAAGGATTAAATGGTTTGTAGACCCGGAAGCAAACCACGTCACTTCCTGTCAGGGACCAGAAGAACATCATCATCATCCCAGAACCAAGCTGCCCAGAACCTGCAGCGACCCGGTTCTGTTGGGCTTTAGAACCAAAGAGAGCCTTAGAGGAAGATCCCAGAACACCACAATGCCCTGACCCCCCAAACCCGCCATCCAGAGTTATGATGTCACTTCCTGTTGTTTGATCAACTTGAACCAACAGTCTGAATGTTCTAGACTTTAACGGGTTTAATGGATCAGAACCAGGTGGTTCCTACCTGGGATGAGGATGAAAGTCCCTCCACTGGCATCGTTCTCCTTCTTCCCACAGAAATACCTCCTGCTGTCCTCAGCAGAGAAGTTCTGGATCACCAGCTGGTTTCTAATCATCAGATATTTGGTCTCAAAGTCCAGAGAGTCGTAGATGGGATCGGTTTGAGAGAAGATCAGTCCGATTCTTCTTCTGGACTGGTTCTGATCCTCCATGAACCAGTGGATGTCACCAACATTAATGGAGCAGGTTAAAGGAACATTCTGACCCAGAGAGACATTAACATTCTCCTGGTTCTGAGCCTCTGAACCGAGCAGAACCAGAACCAGAACCATCCCCAGCAGCTCCATCAGCAGGTTCTACCAGAACTGGACCCGGTTCAGTTCTGTCTGCTCTCTGACGGAGCAGCGTCTGTCTGAACCGTGGTTAGAAACCAGAAATGTTCAGAAGACGGAAGTCAGAGGCGGTCTGTGACTGTCGGACCTTCAGGGGCGTCACTGAGGAAGAGAGAAGCTTCCAGGATCTTCTTCATCATTTCACTCAGCAGAACATGAGGAGGAGGAACTTTGTAGAAACCCAGTGATGAACAGAAGCTCCAGACGTCAGAACCTGCAGGCAGGTGTTCCTGCTCACCTTTCCTTCAGTCTAGGAGCAGCTGAATACCCAGAGACCACCAGGCGGTAGCCATGGCAACGGTGGTCAGATGGACGAAACCAGCAGCTTTAGTGATCATGGATCCAGGTGTTAATGTTGGAGCAACCATGAGGATCTGACTGGGCTTCATCCCTCTGGTACCGGTACCAGAACCTCTGGCTGAAGGTTTAAACCCAGCAGGAGAACCTCTGACCCAAACCATCAGATTTAGGTTATC